TGTACATTTTCTAACCCACGCTTAAACACATCGGTTTCCATATTCTTCGCTGTTGGTTCGGTTTCGTATGTTGATAAACTGCAACAAAGATTAGATAAAGCTAACGGCTGTCCTTTTTTAAACTCCGCCTGTAGCTCTTATAGGGTTACTGCTGGTCCCAAGCCCGGGTAAAGGAAAAGGGTTGGGCATGGGGTTAGCGTCTCCATCCCGTAAATAACTAACTCGCTAAAAAAACGCTTACCAGAAAAAACAATCCAAACCATTTTAACTCTGCCCTGGGAGTTAGAAGGTCTTCATTTAGAAGAATTATGACGCTTCATGGTGAAAGCCGAGTTCCTTCGGAAGCCACGAGGCCGATGCCCCTTCTAACAACCAGAGCAAAAATTTTTATAGGTACATGGAACGTTCGAACAATGTGGGAAACCGGGAAGACCAGTCAAATAGCAATGGAAATGAGGAGATACAACTTAGCAGTACTGGGAATCAGCGAAACCCACTGGACCCAAGCTGGACAAAAAAGGCTAGCTACGGGAGAGATGCTGCTATACTCCGGTCACGAAGAGGACAATGCTCCACACACTCAGGGAGTCGCTCTTATGCTGTCCAAAGTAGCACGAAATGCACTTGTAGGATGGGAATCTCACGGATCCAGAATCATCAAAGCATCATTCAAAACAAAGAAGGAGGGGATCTTAATGAATATTATCCAATGTTATGCACCCACCAATGATAGCAACGACGACATTAAAGATCAGTTCTACGAGCGGCTACAGTCAATCATTGAGAAATGCCCAAGAAAGGACCTAACTATTCTGATGGGAGATCTAAATGCCAAAGTCGGAATAGACAACACTGGATATGAAGATATTATGGGACGACATGGACTGGGAGAAAGAAACGAAAATGGAGAAAGATTTGCAAATCTATGTGCATTCAACAAATTGGTCATAGGAGGCACAATATTTCCACACAAGCGTATACACAAGGCTACATGGATCTCACCGGACCACACTACAGAGAACCAAATAGATCATATTTGCATCAACAAAAAATTCCGAAGGACAATGGAAGATGTGAGAACCAGGAGAGGTGCTGACGTAGCTTCAGATCACCACCTAGTTGTAGCCAATTTAAAACTGAAGCTAAAAAGAACTGGACAAGTGGACAAACAGCACTACAAAGGTTCAATACAGCCTTCCTTCGAGATACTGACAAACTCAATGAATTCAAGATAGCTCTCAACAACAGGTTCCAAGCCTTACAAGATCTACTGAAAGAAGAAGAAACTAGTATGGAGGACAACTGGAAAGGCATCAAGGAAGCATTAACTTCAACGTGTCAAGAGGTTCTGGGCCTAAAGAAACACCATCATAAGGAATGGATCTCTATAGAAACACTGGACAAGATCAAAGAAAGGAAGAACAAGAAGGCAGCAATTAACAACAGCCGAACACGAGCAGAGAAAGTCCAAGCACAAGCTGAATACATAGAAGCAAACAAACAAGTGAAGAGGAGCATTAGAGCCGACAAGAAGAAATACGTGGAAGAACTAGCAACGACGGCAGAAAAAGCTGCTAGAGAAGGAAATATGAAACAGCTTCACGATACAACGAAGAAACTATCAGGGAAATACAGTAAACCAGAGAGGCCGGTCAAAGACAAAGAAGGCAAGCCAATCACCGAAATTCAACAACAGCGTAACAGATGGGTAGAATACTTCGAGGAACTCCTGAATAGGCCGGCTCCAATGAATCCACCGGACATCGAAGCAGCACACACAGATCTTCCTATAGATGTCAACCCACCAACGACGGAAGAAATTAGAATGGCCGTCAGACAAATCAAGAACGGGAAAGCAGCAGGACCCGACAACATACCAGCTGAAGCACTGAAATCAGACATCGAAGCAACCACAAGCATGCTTACCTTCTATTCAAAAAGATTTGGGAGGAGGAACAAGTGCCGATGGACTGGAAAGAAGGACACCTCGTCAAGATTCCAAAGAAAGGAGATCTGAGCAAATGTGAAAACTACAGAGGCATTACACTACTGTCAATACCAGGGAAAGTCTTCAACAGAGTGTTGCTGAACCGGATGAAGGATGCAGTAGACGCCCAACTTCGAGATCAACAAGCTGGATTCCGTAAGGATCGGTCGTGCACAGACCAAATTGCAACACTACGGATCATCGTCGAACAATCAGTTGAGTGGAACTCATCACTATACATCAACTTCATTGATTATGAAAAGGCATTCGACAGTGTAGATAGGAGGACATTATGGAAACTTCTTCGACACTACGGAGTTCCTGAGAAGATTGTCAACATTATCCGGAACTCATACGACGGACTACAGTGCAAAGTAGTGCATGGAGGACAGCTGACAGATGCATTCCAAGTAAGGACTGGAGTCAGACAAGGCTGTTTACTCTCTCCCTTCTCTTTCTTCTGGTGGTCGACTGGATTATGAAGACCTCGACATCTGAAGGAAAACACGGAATACAATGGACAGCTCAGAATCAATTAGACGATTTGGACTTCGCAGATGACCTAGCCCTCCTATCACGTACACACGAACAGATGCAGATGAAGACAGCCAGTGTAGCAGCAGTCTCTGCATCAGTAGGCCTCAGCATACACAAAGGGAAAACCAAGGTCCTCAAATTCAAAGCGAAAAACAGCAATCCAATCACTCTTGATGGCGAAACTCTGGAAGATGTAGAATCCTTCACATACCTGGGAAGCATCATCGATGAACAAGGAGGATCAGATGCAGACGTAAAGGCGAGGATCGGCAAAGCAAGGGTCGCATTCCTACAATTGAAGAACACATGGAACTCAAAACAACTTTCAACCAATATCAAAGTGAGAATCTTCAATACGAACGTCAAGGCAGTTCTACTGTATGGAGCTGAAACTTGGAAAACTACAACAACCACAATCAAGAAAGTACAAGTATTTATAAATAGCTGTCTACGCAAGATACTCAACAACCATTGGCCGGATACCATCAGCAACAGCCTTCTGTGGGAGAGAACAAACCAACTTCCAGCTGAAGAAGAAATTAGGAAAAGACGATGGAAATGGATAGGACATACATTACGCAAATCGTCAAACTGCATCACGAGGCAAGCCCTAACTTGGAATCCTGAAGGGAAGCGGAAAAGAGGAAGGCCAAAGAACACATTGCGTCGGATAATGAAGCAGATATGAAAAGGATGAATTACAACTGGATGGAGCTAGAAAGGATTGCCCAGGACAGGGTTGGATGAAGAATGCTGGTGAGTGGCCTATGCTCCTTCACGAGGAGTAACAGGCGTAAGTAAGTAAAACGGCTGTCTTCTGCACTATCGTATTCTGTAATTATTCTTCATGTTACTATCACAGGAAGCCTTTCTTATTTCAAAATAAAGACGCAGTAAACGTTGCAGACACCCCACAAGTTGAGGTTTGTTGCTAAGTTTTGTATATTATTCAATAAAGAACCGCTGTTTTAGAGAAACAGTTGTTTTGACAACTTTGATTTTGCGCGTGTCACAATTGGGTGATTTAGACTTCACGATAGACTAAACAATCTTCAACATTGGTTCCCGTGCGTGACTCTGTAATGAATGGCCCTATACCAAATACACTTGGATTATTCTAGCCTCTGAACGAACCAATTTATCCATTGTTCTTCAGCTTCATTTTGACCTTGTCAATTATCAACCTTGATTGTTTTATGTAAGCGTATGTGTTTTCACTTCTCACTCATCACATGTCTGTACTTATTTTTGTCTGACTACAAATATCAATTCACGCTTGTTTAAATAGATTTGGCTCACTCTGCTTCTGCATTAAGCGTCATTCGGGTTCGTATCGCTTTCGATCAACAATAGATTGAAATATACGCACTCAATGTCTATTCTCGTATTTAACCTAATTCATTCAGTTAGTCATTATTGAGATATAAGTCGGTAACTATATTCAAGGATCGGCAACATGTATATTACAGTGACAATCATCCTGCGATATAACTGGAGTCAGATAATGGGTCAGTAAAACTCCATAAACGAGAGTCGAACACAGGAGTTTCGGCCGCGTGAGTGAATGCTTAGCCTTTGGATCAATGAACGAACATTCAAAGGTGTAAATATCTAGATTCAATCAATTCATGACAATGCGCGACCATCTTTTTTTGTCTTTCGTAAGTGCCTTCCACATACTCGTCACAGAAGAAATTAGCTGATCTTTCTTGAAATCTCTTCCCGAAAATGGTCACATGAATATTCTCAGTTTGGAGATTGTGGAGATCGCTGAATGTTACGTAGATCATGAACAGATTGAAGTCATAAAACCATTGACATGACAATAATATTCATAAGGATCGGTCGCATGTAATAAATATTCTTCTCTATTCAGGAATTGTTGTTATTAACTGCAAAGTTGATGAAAGCATGTTTCGATGATATCGTTGGAGCTCAGTAGTAGGTCCATTTTTCAACTGATGGACATTGGTAGCTGAATTGAGAAAACTATAGAAGTTTTCCTGTTTAAAATTTGTGTATAATGTGACATTTTCTGTTTGACTGAATTAATTCTCTGTTTACAGAGGAATATATCATCGTTTAATCCATGTCGTGTTTTGATTTGAGAATCGGCATTGAGGACTAGAGCATCCAAGAATACTAGGACGAAGAGAGCGACTTATTAATTGTAATAATCAGACTTCAGTTAACCTGAAAAACGTTATTTATTTTCGAGGAGACCGCTTACTCAAGATTATTAAGTTGCACAATTTCGAGCTTCTACTCAATGGGATATGACTAATATATTATTATACAATACAGAAGGTGTGTTTGATTGCATTTGACTTGGTGAGAAGTAATGGAGAACTTTCGTTGCTCTACTGTGTTATATAACTACTTAACTCTACAAAATACACCGTAGTTAATAATTCTCGTATATAACAGATCAGCTACAAAATATAATCAGCAAATGCATATATAAAGAACATCTGTTATGCATAAAGATTGTGAGTTAAGCAATCACGGGCTAAGCAGATGTTCCTACATCTGCATGAACGATAAAAACACAATATTTTAAGTGAAACATTTCACTGTCATTCTTCAATATAAGATCATCGGAATAAGTAACAACTCAATTTAGTTCACATCAACAAACTGAACTTGCAGTACATTAATTTAGCATCAACATCATCATCACCATCATCATCATCATCATCATCATCATCATCATCATCATCATCATCATCATCATCATCATCATCATCATCATCATCATCATCATCATCATCATCATCATCATCATCATCATCATCATCATCATCATCATCATCATCATCATCATCATCATCATCATCATCAATCAATCAATCAATCAGTCAGTCAGTCAATTGTGAATTCAATTTCTTGACAATAGTTTCAGTTAAATTCAATGAAGCAGAATGAAGAACTGCAACATCATTTGAATTATGCTTTAGGCGGTTTTCACATGTGACAAAAAACCTTGTTTTATGAATGAGGATGATGATTGAAAAAAAAGCATTCGTAAGTTTATCAAAAGATGATATTCTAGTTAATAATTTATAGGCTAAATCAACTCTATTAGTAATAGGTGTTCACATGATGGCATGACCTGTTTAACTTCCACATTATTTACACAGACTTAAATGCATTCTGCAACATTTTCACAAGACTTTTACCATGTATAAATAGACATTCGACATTGAGTGAACCAAGTGATGTACATATGAAAATGATTTACATTGTGACGAGTGCGCATTATGCATAGACAATTTTAATCGACACTGCCTCATAGCTTGAATAATTGCTTCTTCCATACCCTGTGTATAACATATAATTGTAGCCATATTCTCGTCTGAATGCTGTATTCAACTCTAATGATAATCACTGACATCGTAAAGATCAGTGGCCAAATTATCTCAATCTCCAATCACATTTATCTGTCAGCATAATACAGTGTTATTCAAAGTGAATCTTGGGTTACCTGCTCTCGGTTCACGGTAAAGAATTCCAAGGAGATTCAAGCTAACATTACACCAACGATTAGTATTCTGTGGCTGACATTAGTATTTTGCAGTGAAAAGTAGACTATGACTTGAACTTTATGGAGAAATTAATCGACTTCACCTATCACATATGACAGAACCAACTGTTTTCTGTAAGAATTGTTTTATGTGGGTGGATTTTCATTACAGATGGATGTTGGTTGCAGTACCAGCGTAAACTAAAAGGTGCTAGGTAGTCATTTTGCCGTAACATGAAATTTCTCAGTAATCAACATTTTGTGTAGTCGCCTAGCTTAATGTCGAGTAGATTGAGACTATTGGTGTGGATTATTGGATGACGATTCGATAGTCTGAACGTTAAGCGTTTGACGGAACACCTGAAAATCATTCAATCGACCACCGTTTCAATGTCGGCAAACATCACAGAGTGGGCGATTTCCAAATTCATTCGAGTTCAGCACACATATTTCAGTGAACATATATTCCGAACGATATGAGAAGTAAGTGTCACCACAACAACCGTTACTGGGTGGTAAAAATGAAATCAATGAAAATACATGCAAATGAAATATTTAGTGAATGGTCTTCACATTTAACCAAGATGATGTTGCATTTAGATGCAGTTGGTTGACCCGTCTTGTGTTCTAGTGCACTACAATACTAGATAAATCGAATTCACTTACATCTGTCTCTTGGATAACTCACGTTCTCTAGTTCCGTTCCATATGAATTGTTTAGATTGAGTGGAATATTGATGTTTAGTGAATTTCAGTAGGATTCCATATTTACCGGTTAGGTGAAACCTGCTGACAAATTATGATAAATCGAAGTTGTCGAATGGATGTCCGAATTAGGAATTCTCAGAATAGTGCAATTTAAGACAGACAGACAGACAGAACTAAATGAGCTCAAATCTCATCCACTTAGAATCAATCTTCACTGGATTTGTGCGGATAGTAAAGTTAGTGAATTCTCATTGAATCCAATATAAACGGGATATGGGACATGGGCTCCACTGTCAACAACTACAACACATCTGTTCTATTGAACGTGTGACAAAATCACTATATCAACACAATCCACACACACACATTGTCCATGTTCACTTGCAAATGTGATCAAATTCAGTCGTGAATGTCAACAACAAAATAGTGCAAAGGTTTATTGATTATAGTACATATGTGATCAATCTCGGTCTATTCAAGCTGCAAAACAATCTCAGTATCCTATATGACGATATTGAACGAGTGAATCTTAGCTGATTTTAGTTACATGGAGAAATGGTGTTCATTTCGCCCATGCTTTGTGTGCAACTCATCATGCTGACTGATCTGTTCTACATAGAAGGACGATTTATAATTTAAATTCCATAGGTACTTTACTCAAACTTCATGCATCTAACCTTCTCTGATATGTTCTTTGGGTTCAATATTTATCGTGGAGACGATGAGTTAATTGTACACACCTGTTTCATCTATTCACTCCAAATATGTTTGTATATTTACTGGTCAGAATATTAAGTCTTAAGGGATGTTTTAGTCTATGCACTGCCGAGGTTTGAGATGATTCAATGCACCCATATGCTAGGCACTGCTTCGGACTGAGTATGCCGAAATAGTAGGATGTGAGATAATCTCACTTAGTGACATCACATTGACAGACTGCGGATTCATTTTGACAGATGAGGTTTTTTATCGCACGGTAACCTTTATTTACGTGAATACTGACTTACCAATATAGAGGAAGTTTTATTGTTTATACGCTTGCGTGTTTTGTAAATCCAGTTCATCGCATGAGATCAGTAAGCAAGTGAATATATCAGAGTGATATCATGAGGCGGTGCACTGTCCATTACTTATCACTCCCAGTTATGTCCTTATTCGTTTAAGTGAAGTAAGTGAGTTAAGTTTGTTCCAGTGGTTCGCTTCGACCAACCTAAGTAAAAGCGACAGATCAGCTTGAAGACTGGATTTGAAAGATATATTGAAGTCAAGCAATATGGCACTAGTCAAGACATCATTAATACAAGCAAATTGTCAGAGAGGAAAACAAGCGGTCGGATTGATCATTACATTGTAATGAGTCAAAGGATATTGCAAACAGCTCTAGAAGTCTAGGTCCGTGTGACGATACTGTTCAATTAAGTGGAGTGATGACTAACGGCTTTTCTAAACAAAATGAAGAAGAACGGAAATGTGGTAAGAATTTTTCACTGAGGAAAGCAAAGAACAAGGTAAAAGAGAAGGTTGAAAGACTAGAAGAATGAGGAGAAATGTTGGACTCTTCGATGAAGTATTTAAAAGTTTCCGAAAAAGGATCTACCACGCGAATAAACTTTAATAACAGTAGGGACTGAACTAGAAGTTAAAGTGCACAACAAAATATACGAAAACAATTCGCAGTAAAACAGAAGGAAAAAATGAAGCAAAACCGCAATGTGAACACAAAACACAAAGACGTTTTAGGGCCAGTGAGATGTTACTGAACCCTATTCAAATCATTCGGCAATTGGGCCAGAGAAAGTCTTATTGATCACCGATCCCTGTCAAAGTCAAGGACGACCAAAGCGCATCATTTAATCGTATTCCATGGACTAGCGCATTTGTTGGTGGTCTCGCTATCTTCTCTGTACTCATTTTTACTCATATTTCTCCTTGATAACGTCCTTTGTGTTACACGGTCTTCATAGCAGCCAAAGTACTTTAATGCGTCGAACGAGTAATCCATGTTAGATGTTCATCGCAAAATGTCGTCGTCTACGCTGGTGATCAACAAAGTAACACGTCTTCAAAGGGTAGAATGCGACGAGAACGATGTCTTTTGAACAGGCAAAGATATTCGCAGTAAGGTTGCTGGATTAGATTTAGTTTTACTTTTGCATCAGTTTAAGTTTTTGGTCGATTGATGGTTCTGCGTGTTGCCTGAAAAGAGTTGTGATTGTTTGCCGAAATATCTGTGGTAAACATTTAAACGACTGTTAACTTGATCAAGGTCATTTATTGGTTGATTATTTTTATATGGGAGGTGAATACTATCACTAGTTATCCTCGACTTAAAGGCTCGAAATGGATTACACGAACTTGTGTTTGGTAAACACCGAGATGCAATAAATAGTTATTTTCATCATGACCTAGTGTACCAGATGAATTTGTTTCATCAATTAAACAACGCGAAATGCATTCTAAACTACTAGTTATTTGTTGCAACTAATTATAGGAACTGGCATCATTCCGTTTTGTTCTTTCGGGACTATGACTTAACATTTTTTGTCGGTGTTTTCTATGTTTAGTGACCAGCGTCCTGCATTGAAACCCAAAACACATTTTGAAGTACTACACATTTCATGCAACCTGGGTATACAAGTGATGTTGTCAATAAATTCAAGACTCACTGCAAACACCATTACAGGTACATCCAACTGTCGATAACCTAATCAAGCACGATATAATATGAGTCCCTCACTTCAACCTTATCCATCCTACACAATTTTGTAAATGTTCTGCAGAGAGGAAACACTGAAACCGAATGCAAGCATACTCGTTTTAATAACAACCCATCAAATTAGTGTTGTTTCATCCAAGTTACATGTACTTTCATTGATTTCATGTTTATCACTCAGTAACTGTTGTTGAGGTGGCATTTACTTCTCATTCAGTTGGTCAGCCTAAACGTAAGATTAGGCACATATATGCATCGGTCGAAGTTGTTATATCTCTTTATCATAACAACATGAAAGCCAAATACATAGGAGCAGTTACTTCAATTGTAGTAATATATAAAAAAAGCATATATCTATATGATACAGGGAGGAAGAATTAGCTCGTAGAAGGGAATTTGTATAGCAATTTTAGTCACACGGTTTAAGAGATGACAAGGAGTGTATACACTTACACCATTGTGGTCGAATCTGAGTAATGTCACCCTGAATCTACAACCACCAGTTACGATAGTCACCCAGACCACAACAAAGTAATCTGCATCTACCAACATGGCTCAGACCAGAAGTAAGTGACTTCAAGAATTAATGCCACATTTTTGTTTGACTGTCCCTAACCTTCTTCCAACCGTCTTCACCACTAGTCAGCATTGTGCGTCGTGATATTCGGTGTTCAGGCGTGCGCAATACGTGTCCCAACCATCTCAGTCGATAGAGATTCAAAACTGACTCGACATCCTTCCCTAATGCCATGAGCCTGACGCCACTATTACGTACCCGGTGATCCCAGTAGATGCGAACAATATTCCTAAGGCATCTTTGGGCAAATTTCAAAAGCTTAAGAGAATCTTATACTCATAATGGTTACGATTTACAGCCTTAAAGTAGAACAGAACAAAATGTTGTACAGTATATTCGTCCCTTAATTGATAGACAGGTATCTCGCCTTTGCCATAGGTGACGAAAGTCGGCAAAACCCAAAG